TGGGGTGGAGAAGCCCAGAGCCTAAGGCTTGACCACCTGCCACCAAGCCCTGGGACGGAGCTGACATGTCTGCAGCACTGCAGTCAGTGCACAGAGCACACCTCACGCTCATTCTCTCTCTAATCCTCCCAAACTCTCCCTGAGACCAGACAGAGCTGAAGGGCTGCCTCTACCTACTGACAGTGAGAAACAGTATCTCATGGGAAACAGTATCTCAAAACTTTATGCTTATCTGAGTTTAGAAGAATCATCACAGTAGTGGTAATAAACATAATAATAGCAATTTTTATTCTTCTATTCCATGTGGAGAGCTAACACTTGTTGCCTGCGTACTATGCTTCCAGCATTGTGTTTACTTAATCATTTCAACAACCCTAGGAGAGAGGTACCATTATTATCACATATGGATATGGAAACTGAGGCTCAGAAAGGTTAAGTTACTTGCCCAAGGTCACACAGCCACTGAATGACAGTCAGTATTCAAACCCATGTTGGTCTTATTTCAAAAGCTTGTGATTTTAGTCACTTCTCTGTGAGAGAAGTCGGGCATCAAAGCCCTAGGGCCAGGGTTGGGCATATTGAGGGGGTCCCAGAAGCACCAGCTGATGCCCCCACACAGTCTCACATCTGTACACACTCTCCCAGGGATGTCCTAAAGCTGGGTTCGTGCAAACCCTAGCCAGATGTCCTGCAGAAGATAACTAGGCAGACTAAAGTGTCTGCAAAGGCCCTTATGACCTACTTCAAGCTCCTGCTGAACTGGCTGGTCACTGGGAACATGCACCAAGGGGAGGTCCTGGGCTGGCCAGAATTCAGTTGTTCCTTTGAAGGTTTGAAAATCTGACCCTGGTCCCAGCTCTGGTCCAACCCCATGCCCTACCCTAGCCTTCCCTGGGTCAGCTCCTACCCCAACCCAGCCTTAACCCCTAGTCCATCTGTGACCTGGCTTGAACGAACACAGCACTGCTGCCGCGTGACCCTGTTTGCACCTGCTGCAGTCCATGCCCCAGCCCATGCCCCAGTTGCTTCCTTGTACACTGTCCAGCTAGACTGCCAGGATGACATCTGAGCACAGGGTGGCATCTTGCCTCCTGACCCTTGCACGGAGCCACTGCTGAGCACCACAAGATATGTAGCCCTATCTGTGCCCATCTTCTCTTCTGCTTTACTCTCTCACCCTCCTTCCAGGGCAATGCCCTCACCTGTGGCTTGGAAGGTAGGCACCTGAGGCTGAGGGGAAAGGCCAGTGGCAGTCAGATCCTCTCTGATCACCACAAGGCAACTCAGGGCCGTCTCTTCAGTTCTACCTGCTCTATAAGACTCCTATGTCTTCCACAGAAAAAGACAAAGACAGGGTAAAATTCCTGAGTCTGCAGCTGAATGCCAACCAGGCAAATGTGGGCAGTAGGTGTTGCAGTCCTGAACTTTGTCATGTTCCTGTTAGCCCTACTGCTGGCCTACAAGCTGCACTCCCTGGAAAATAGGTCACTGGCCCAGAACAGGACATCAATCCACTTGAGACACCACTCGATGCCTACTTCCTGGGCAAAGCCACAAAGCCCACCCAGGTTGCCTAGAGAGTAGATTCTGCTGGGCCTCTGCCTGGTCCTGATGCTATACTCTATCAGCCTGCTCATTCAGATTTTCACACAGCACGACACGAAGCCTCTGTGGATGAGTGCTGAATGGTGGAGCTGGGGCCAGACACCAGTGCAACTGCTGAGGCTGGGGGCAGGAGGAGGACAGTCAAGCCAGAGAGGGTTGGGGGTGGGGTGGCTTGGGAGGAGACAGCTTGCATGCATAGTTCCCAATTGCAACTGGGTGCAGCAGATCTGGGTAAATGGGGAGTTGTAATTCTGTGTGTGTGTGTGTGTGTGTGTGTGTGTGTGTGTGTGAGCTCATGTATACAAGGCCATGTGCACAGGCGACTGACTTTGTGTGATTCCACGTGATTCCACACATTCCATGTATGCCCTGGGTTCCAGACCAACCTTTTCCCTCTAGGGACTCAAGAACCATGGTTTTTTTTTTGTTGGTTTTTTTTAATCCTCACTCGAGGACATTTTTCCATATTTTGTTCAGATGGAGTGGGAAGGAGAGAGAGAGAGAGAAACATCGACGTGAAAGGGACACATCGAGTGGCTGCCACCCGCACGACCCAACCAGGGCCGGGGACAAACTGCAACCGAGGTACGCGCCCTTAGCGGGAACTGAACCCGGGTCTCTCTGGACCGCAGGCCGACGCTCTAACCGCTGAGCCAAACCGGCCAGGGCAGGAACCATGGTTTTAGTGAGCCAGTGGCTGTATCCCTCCAAAACAGTCTCCACCCCTATTTATGCCCAGAACTGGTTCTTCACACAGTCTATTTTCTTCCAGCACTTCGGTAGTCAAAGAATGTCTACTCTGGTTAGAAACAGGACACTGCTTCAGTCCCCTTATAAAATGTATTCAAGCAGAATCAGACATTCCTGCACAAATCACTGGTGCCTAGTTCATGAGCACTGTGCTCTGTATACTGGCCAGCACATCTTCCTGCTGATCCTCTGGCCTGCCCTGTGTTGGGCTGCATAATCTAGCCCCCAAAAGCTACTTGTCTGCCATCTGAAATGCAAGTAGCCTCACAAGATGCCCCATGGCCCTCCCCTCCCCAGTCCAGGCCCTACCAAATGGAGACAGTGGGCAGCCAGGCATCAAGCCAGGCTTGATTAATGATTGACTTCTTGAATATTTAAACAAAGCTCATCTCCAGCCACTCTGTTTCAGAGATGGCTTTGTTCGACACACATACACCTGCCGCCTAGTCTGTTGCCCTGGGGATTGAGTACAGGGCAAACAGCACCTTTCCAGACTAAATGGAGGAGGGGAAGACAGGGAGGGAATGCTATTGGAGAACTCCAGGGACAAGCCTGGGAAGAGAGAGGAAAGGCATCTGCTCTTACTACTTCTAGCCCTTTCTTTCCAGCCAGGGTCTGCCTGCTATGGCAACAAACTGAGTTTGGCCTGAGGCCCCAAAGGCTCCTGGGGAGGCTGAGAATTAGTGCCTGTCAGAGATTAGGAGAGCCTTGGGGGGAAGTAGCATCACAGCTAGTAACCACAGAAAGGAGGCACCAGGGCTGCAGTTGAGCAGGTGGGAGGGTGGCCAAAAGATGAGACTGGCTCTCTCTAGATTAAGAAGTCAGGGGCTCAGGGGACACAGGTGTTGCGCTGAGTTTTCCATGGGCCTAACCTCTGCCCAGGTTTCCAGAGTTCTTCCTAAGTTTTTACTGACCCCATGCACTTCCTGCTCAACCACAGGCTTCACAGCACCCTCATTTGATGTCTCTGTCACTACATTGCTGTGCTGTAGTGTCCTTATTTGTCCCCATTACTAGCTGTCAGCTCTATAAGGGCAGGACACTTATCAGAACTGGGCCTAAAACACCTATAGCCAGCACAGACCATGGCACATAGTGGGCACTTGGAAAATGTTTGAATGAGTGAGTGAATGAGTGTTCCACTGCCCAAGCTCCTCCTCAGAGCTCAGCACCCTATGCAGTGAGCCCATGAAAAACAGCCTCACCTTTTCTCCACAGCCACCCTGCCCCTCCACACATACACAGGGGCAACCAGGACAACTCTGCCCCTCCCAGGAAGCCACATTTGCAGCACTCCCATCCCTCAACCACAGCAGCCAAAGAAGTTCCCATCAGGCATTGTGGCTCTGAGTGGCAAAGGCTCCAAGCCTCTCCCCTGGACTCCAGCAAAAAATCTCACCAAGCCTCATTGTCTATCCTTCCTCCCCTACCTGTTGTTGTAAAATTTATTTCACCAAAATATTTCCTTCATGTCTAACTACATAAGAACTTGGTTGTCCATCAATTAATGTTCAAAATGTCATCTATCGCTTCCCCGTTTCTCCGACCTCACCTTTCCCAGCCCCCAGCTCAGTCCCTTTGCACTGATTGTAACATGGGCCTTTGCCTAAGGTACATGACCCATTGGAATACTTGCCCTCCAAGGCCTGGCTCAAAACTGGTCACTGGACCCTCTGCAAAGCTCTAAGCCGGACGAGATGCTGAGTGAACAGTGGTCCCTTTCTCTCTCTCCTTTTCTAAAAAGACTCTTTCGATAAACCTCACCCCATCTTCTTCTAGTGTACTCCTTTTCAATCAGTACTCAGAGACATTTATCAGTGGTTACTTGCTAATAGGTGGTTTTAAATCTGGCTTCCTCTCAAGCAGCACTTGTGTGCTAAGAGCTGTCAGGCCTCTGAAGAAAGCACCTGATTGCATATTTCTTGCACCCTTCACGTGTGCTCCTACCTCATTCTCCCAGGACCAGATCTTGACGGGCTTGCCACTAGGAGCTCTGCATGGGCACAGGGGTTCAGCTGGAGGGCACTTGGCAAAGGAGGGCAAGAGATCTAACCACACCATTGCCAGGGCCAGGCCTAGCAATGAGACTCAGAAAGAAACCTTAGCAAAAGACCATCTGGCCTCTAACAACCCATTCTGCCCGCCCCTTCCCCTGCCTGAGAGACTCGCCCCAGCAACGTCCCGGATTGGCCTTCGGTGTCATGAGAGGATCCTAGAGGGGCTGAGGCCACTGGCCACTGGAACAAGAGCAGAAGCTCCTCAAAAAAAGCCCTGCCCCACTCCTGGCGCGGAACTCCCGCCCAGCTCCGCCCCGTAGGAGTCATGGCCCCGCCCCTGCCCGGTTGAGTCCGGGAGAAGTTGCCCCCGCCCCGCCTCCGCTGCTCGGCTTCTTTCAGCACCGTGGCGCGGACAGCTCCCGGGTGGTGGGCCCGAGGGGAGGAGGTGCCGTGAGTCGCCGGCCCGAGAGGGCGGAGAAGGGAAGCGGACGGTAGATGCAGGAGGGCGGGCGGGGCACGGAGCCCCGCGGCCCTCCCGGGGGGCGGGCGCCACTCGCAGCCCGAGCGGGACCCCGCTGAGTGCGAGGACAGTCGAAGACGCAGGGAGCCGAGGCGCTGTTGGCTCCCAGCAGAGGCCGCGGCTGGAAGATGCCTGTCCGCAGGGGCCACGTCGCGCCCCAAAACACTTACCTGGACACCATCATCCGCAAATTCGAGGGCCAGAGTGAGTGTGTGCGTCGGGGTGGGGGGACGATCTGGTTCGGTGGCAGTAGTCGGACACCTTGGCTAACTTCGAATGGAGCAGGGTGGGGGTACCGGATGCTGGATGCAAAATTCTTCGCTTTAATGTCCCCAATCACCATCTTCTCCAGGGGGCTTCACTTACCTCAATGGCTGTCTTCTCTTCTGGAGCAAAAGTTTCAGAGTGCAGCCCCTCCCTCCTCCCTGAGTTGTTTTCTTGCCCCCCAGGCCCTGACCTCCCCTTCTGTCACTGCCCGGCTTGCCCCTCTTGACACACACACACTCACACAGATACACACACACACAGATACACACACACACACTCACACAGATGCACACACACACACACACACACACACACACACACAAGATTTCCTTGACTTTCTCCTTTTCATCACCTGACCCTGATCACCCTGGTCTTTCTAGACACTCTCAGGCCTGATCCCCAGGTCGCATCCCTGCTCACTCTTCCTGACCCTCTCCACTGTCTCCAGGAAGCCTTAGGCCTCCCTCCCACTTCACTGACCCCATTATTGCCCTGGTCTCCCCTCAATCCCCAAGACTGACTTTCCTTCCCCCACTTCTCTGGTCACTGTCCCGCTCCCCACTCCTGACCACCCCCCTACTACTCTCAGGAGTCCCATGAGCTTCCCCCAAGACTCTGGCCTCCTCGGTTATTCCCACCCTCCCCAGAGGTGACCTCCCCCCCTCCTTCATTCTGGCCACTGCTCTGCTCTCCCATATAGATACTCCCTCACTGCTGCCAAGAGTCCCTATAATCTTTCCCTTCCTGCCACCCAATCCTAGTTGCCATGGGATTCCCCCCTCCCCCTCCCACCCCAGGTCGAAAGTTCCTGATCGCCAATGCTCAGATGGAGAACTGCGCCATCATTTACTGCAACGATGGCTTCTGCGAGCTCTTTGGCTACTCCCGAGTGGAGGTGATGCAGCGACCCTGCACCTGTGACTTCCTCACGGGCCCCAACACCCCACCCAGTGCCATGTCCCGCCTGGCGCAGGCCCTGCTGGGGGCTGAGGAGTGCAAGGTGGACATCCTCTACTACCGCAAGGATGGTGAGACACCCTCGGGTCACAGGTTCTTGGTCCCTCTCTTGTTCTGCCAGAGTGGCCATGGGGAGGGCACTGACCCTGGGACCAAGGGCCTGGATAAATCCTGTCTCCTATCTGGGCCTCAGTTTCCTCATCTGTGTGCCAAAGTGATAGGCATTGGATATGATGCCTTTAGAGATCCTTTTCAGAAACTGGACACCAGGTTGAGCCACTGACTAGTCCTAGTCCTGGGCAGGGCCTACCGCTCCACCATCCCTCCCCCATTTCCTCCGTCTCCTGGCAGTCCACTCTGTCACTGTCCACCCAGCTTTCAGGCAACTGAGACAGAAATTAACTTTTCTTCATCTGTCTGCTCTGGGGATTCAGAGAGGAGTCAGGGCCTCTGTGGCCAAGCAAGGCATGGGGTGGCTGGATGGGAAAGAGTGGGTATGGCTCACCCAGCCTTGGCTTCTTGGGGAAAGAGGGTCTGGAGTTTGGCCTGACCTGGAGACTCCTTCAGTTTGGGATGTCACTGCCAACCCAAGTTTACTGCAAGCAGAACAGAAGCCTAGGATAGGGGCCTATGATAAAGACTTCTGTAGGCTTTTGAGACCCTCCCCTCAGGACCTCTGAGTCTCTATTGGGTGAAGCATGGGGGTGATGGGTGGGAACTAGGATCCTGAAAGTCCCTTTGCAATTACCTGGATCAGTGCCCCCCACCCACCCACACACTCACACCTGGTTCTGCATCAAAATTACCTGGGGTTTATTTTGCAAAACATACCTTCCCTAGAGAGAGGCTGACTCACAGGTGTGAGGTGAGGTCCAAGCAGGTGTATTTGGAAAAATCTTCCTGGTCATTCGAATGTTCTGCTAAGTTTGGGAACCACTGGCTTAGATCAATCCTTTTACTTCAGATGAGGAAACCGAGGCTTAAGAAAAAGAAGGAACTTGCCCAGAATCCTACTGTGGGGATCCAACCTGGGGCCGGATCCCAAATCTCTGGATTCTTTCCTAGAGATATCTCTGTTCTGAGTAATTCCAAGGAGGGAGAAAGGACCCCAACTGCTTCTGTGCTGAGAGGCGGGACTTTTGGGAAAGGGAGCCCCAGAAGAGGGCTTCCCCAGGGAAAGCAGGCATGAGGGCCCTCTGAATGCAGATACAGGTCAGGCAACTCTGGGTTGGGACTGAGCGGTGCTGGAGTTTGAGTTCCAGGGGCCTGGTGTGTGTGGAGCATGGGTGTAAGCATGAATGTAAACACGTGTTTGAGTGCATGAATGTGCGTGTGTTTAAGGGCTTTGGGGGTGCTTCTTGGGCAGGTCCTGGCTGTCCTGATGGTTGTCTCCTGCTGCTGCCACTCAAGTGAATGCAGAGGTAGAGATTAGGGGGCTAGGAAGAATCTGGCTTAGTGCGGCAGCACTCACAGGGTTAATAAAGTCATATTATTTTAAAAAGCTGTGACCTGCTCTCCTCATATCACTGCAGGGAGGAGCTGACAGGCAGGGGAGTGAGAAGGTTCCTGGGGAAACAGGATGGGACAGCAGGAAGTGAGGGGGAACAACAGGTCCTTCTTTGTCCGTCTCCTTGACCCCAGAGCTCTACCTGGGCCCCAGAGGGGTAAGGGCTGATTCCATATACCTGGAGATGTCATATTAGGATTCTTAGGGTCTCCTCAACACTGTGCATATGATGGGGCAGGGAGCAGAGGTCAAGGCCAGGCCTTGGCCCTCTGAGATTAGAACTCAGGTCTTCAGAACCCTGCTAGGGTCCTCCACCTATCAGAAGGGACCCTGGCAACTAGTCTTAAAGGCTGACCCTCAGTGAAAATGGAAAGTGACTCACATACCTGATGCCCCCAAATGCCCATTTACCCCCACCCCTACTGCAAGCCCTTCCCCGTCCTATAGTCCAAATCTTTGACCGCGGGGAACTGCCTAAAAATGGCCTGAAAGGGGAGCCCAGGAAAGGGAGTTTCTCAGCCTGCATTACCCCAAGCGAAGGATGTGGTTCTCAGATAATTATGTTTACCTTATGGTCCACTCTGACCACATGACCTTTTTTATTTATTTTTTTTCTATTTTTTTGTTCAGGTAGAGTGGGAGGGAGAGAGAGAGAAAGAGAGAGAGAGAGAGAAACATCGATGTGAAAGGGACACATCGAGTCGCTGCCACCCGAACGACCAACCAGGGCCGGGGACAAACTGCAACCGAGGTACGTGCCCTTAGCGGGAACCAAACCCGGGTCTCTCAGGACCGTAGGCCGGCGCTCTAACCACTGAGCAAAACTGGCCAGAGCCCACAGGACCTTTTTAAAAAAATCATATTAATATACATCTTACAATCCTGCTGAGGGGCACCCTAATGCTGATTTCCTCCCATCTTGGGTCAATACCTCCTCTGCCCCACTCCCTCGGACTCCAGGGAGGTAGGAAAGGGTCCTGAATAGAACTCTAGCTGATTTATTTATAATTTTCTTTTCCTCTAAAGGAGTCTTCCACTGACAACTCTCCAAGTCAAAGTGGAAAGTCTGTGTCCACATATCTCCACATTATGCAGCTGCTCAAAGAGGCCAAGATACTTGGCAAAAATTACCCCATGAGACAGGGCTGAGAGACCCCTAAGGAATTGGCTCTTCCTCCATCTGCCTGTATAGGAAAAGTAAGACCCTAACAGATGAGGGGGAATAGGATGGCCATAAGACTAGAACCAATGAGAGTCTGGAGGGAGAGATGGAGAACACTCAATCTCCCCCACCCTTACCCTTGCCTCCACTGGGCACTAGCCCTGCCTACTTTTGCTAGGTCCTTTTCTCTGATGACCCCAAACCAGAGAGTCCCCTAAACCCTAAGCCAGACTACAGGAACCCTCGGGCTCCTCCAGTCCTCGGCTCTGGATGAGGAGGCCAGGGCAGGGGATGAGATCACGGCCCCAGTGTTTCCCACACACTCACCCATGAGTGCCAGAAACGCCAAGCAGGGAGGGGGTATGGAATAGCCACTGTCTTAGTGGCAGCTTTCTGCAGCACCAGCTCCTTCCTGAAGGCTCACCACAGTCCTGGATGGGGTGTGCATAAAGAAATGGGGGTAATAGATGGCAGGGAAGCTGTGCAGAGGGGAGGCGAGGGCCAGAGGGCAGAGGAAAGGCAGGAACAAAGAGAAACTGAAGAAAGGGGCACATTCAAGAGGCAGAGAAGAGCAGAAGAAGGGCAATGTCCAGGGAGGAGGACAGACAAGCCTGCTGCCCTTGGTCAGAGAGGTGGGTGCCAGGAGGGGCCCCTAAAAGGGAGTACAAGACCATGGCTCTTCCTCCAGGGACAAGGAAAGGGCACAGAAATGCCACCACTCCTGGGCACAACCAAGGACAACACACTCACCCACTTCTGATCATCCAAACACAGTTACTCATGAGCAAGGACAGCCTGGGAATGGGCGGGGGAAAAAATATTCTCAATTCATCCAAATCCTCACAACTCCTGTCTCTGCTCACCTTACAAGCAGCAACCATGAAGGTCAGGCATGGGTGCCATGTACAGCCCCCCTCCAGACCTTACTGCTATGATGGCTGGTCTTCAGTCCATTCTCAGCCTCAGCTTTCCAAACATAGCATCAGTGGGTGGGTATAGCCACTCAAAGACTGGGGCCTCGGCTGTTCCCGGCAGCATAGAGAGCCTGGAGGCCCTGCCCCTCTGCCCAGTTCCGTCCTCTGCCTGCTTCCTGCCAGGCCAGATCTCTGCAGTACCAGAGAGTGAGGAGATAGTCTCACTTTGGGGGCAATGTCTCCGGCTGCTGGCCAGAGACTTCCTGGCTAGATCCCAGTGCCCATGCCTCATCATGCCCCAGGCCTACAGCCTGTAGCCCCAGGAATGGGTCACAGAGGCAGGTGGGTGGCTTCTCCTTGGTGTGGATGTCTCCCCCGGGGCCCAGTACAGCAGCTGGCAGATGGCCGCCTGGTGCCTGGGAGTCGGGGAATCTGATCCAGGAGATTCCTGCTGCCAGGGAGGAATGTGGGAGGGAGGATGGGGACAGCTCTGCACCCCGGCACTGATGGCTGTGAGGAGACACCAAGGGAAGTGAGCACTAAATGAGGAGCCAAGAGAAGGGTGATTCTAGTGGACCCCAAAGTGGCAATATTCCTGCCAGCCAACCTCCTACCCTCTCACATTTACATATACATTCATTCACTCAATCAACAAACAACACCTAGCACAGGTGCTGGCCACTGGCAAATGAGACAGATCTAAACCTGGGCAGCTCTGCCTTCTGATTTGCACATTTACCTGAAGTTCCTGCCTCTTAGGATCCTGCCCTTTGGGCCTGACACCCACCAGTGATTTGAGTTGAGGGGCATGGGACCACCCTCCGGGTACCATAAGGAGCAGGCTCACGGGGTGTCCACCTACCCACGCAGCCCAAAGGCAATTTTAGTTTGTTTTATTCCATCCACCTATGGAGGTAGGGGAGCAAGACCCTATAACAGAATAAGAGGAACAGTGAAGCAAACGTCTAGGACTGGGCTGCCCGAAAGGATGGAGAGAGTGGCAGGAGGGGCCTGTTCTGTCCCCACACTGCCATCTCTTTCCCTCCAGACCCCAGGCCACTGCCCTGCCTGCTCCCCAGCCCCAGCACCTCTGCCTTGAAACCTGCTCCCCTTCCAGGCCTGGAGCAGCAGCCTGGCCTTCACTCTAGCGTCCCCATCCTATAGCACCCCCATCCCATAGCACCCCCATCCCATAGCACCCCCATCCCATAGCACCCCCATCCCATAGCATCCCCATCCCATAGCATCCCCATCCCATAGCGTCCCCATCCCATAGCACCCCCATCCCATAGCGTCCCCATCCCATAGCACCCCCATCCCATAGCACCCCCATCCCATAGCGTCCCCATCCCATAGCGTCCCCATCCCATAGCACCCCCATCCCATAGCACCCCCATCCCATAGCACCCCCATCCCATAGCGTCCCCATCCCATAGCACCCCCATCCCATAGCACCCCCATCCCATAGCATCCCCATCCCATAGCACCCCATCCCATAGCATCCCCATCCCATAGCACCCCCATCCCATAGCACCCCCATCCCATAGCACCCCCATCCCATAGCATCCCCATCCCATAGCACCCCCATCCCATAGCACCCCCATCCCATAGCGTCCCCATCCCATAGCATCCCCATCCCATAGCACCCCATCCCATAGCACCCCCATCCCATAGCACCCCCATCCCATAGCGTCCCCATCCCATAGCATCCCCATCCCATAGCACCCCATCCCATAGCACCCCATCCCATAGCATCCCCATCCCATAGCATCCCCATCCCATAGCACCCCCATCCCATAGCATCCCCATCCCATAGCGTCCCCATCCCATAGCATCCCCATCCCATAGCGTCCCCATCCCAGACAAGTCCCTTCCCCTCTCCAAGCTGTTGTGTACTGAAAGTTCAACGATCCCTGGTCCATGTCTCCTTGCAGTCCCAGCAAGTCAGTTTCTCAGAACTCAGGCTCTCATCTGCAGAATGGGGGTCTCTGCCTCCCCCCAAAGACCCATTGGGCTCCACCACAGAGACTGAAGTCTAATATGCCAACTGGCTCAGTGCCCAGCACTTAGTGTGTTCTCAATGGTGAGGTCCTTCCAGTGTTAGCTTTGTGGGATGGGAACATAGGAGTGGAACCCAGGGCCAGCCAGAGCTTCATGGGGTAGAATGCCCAACTCACCTCCCCACTTAATCCACCCCCATCTGCTCTGCTTTAATTACAGCAGAAGCAAGCCTCAAGGTTAAGCCCTAAGCTGAGGACTGAGCACGGACTTGGACCTGATGCTACATTATCTCCTAATGAGCAGCTTAGCTGCTCTCCCCATCTCTGCCCTGTGGCATCACCAACCCTCTGTCCAGGCCTCCTTATTCCATGGCTGCCCTTAATCTGACCTTTACCCAGCCCCCTCCCTAGCATTCCCTGGCCAGTTTCCTGCTGAAGAGGACCCCTTCAGTGACACCCCACCCCCTGCCCCGATGGTGTACGCAGCCTCCAGCTTCCGCTGCCTGGTGGACGTGGTGCCCGTGAAGAATGAGGATGGGGCCGTCATCATGTTCATTCTCAACTTCGAGGATCTGGCCCAGCTCCTGGCCAAGAGTGGGAGCCGCAGCCTCTCCCAGCGCCTGCTGTCCCAGAGCTTCCCGGGCTCTGGTGAGGAGGGGTGCAGGTGGTGGAGGGGGGCAAGTGGGGACACCAGGTAGAGCAGCTGGTCCATGACCCTGGCTGCTCTGACCCTGGCACTGCTTTCAGAGGGCTCTCACGGCAGGCCGGGTACAAGGGGGCCTGGCACGGGCAGGGTCAAGTACAGGACCATCAGCCAAATCCCGCAGTTCACACTCAACTTTGTGGAGTTCAACCTGGAGAAGCACCGCTCAGGCTCCACCACAGAAATTGAGATCATCGCACCCCACAAGGTGGTGGAGCGGACCCAGAATGTCACCGAGAAGGTCACCCAGGTTTGGCGTGCAGGGCAGACAGGGTTGTGCTGGGCCTTGAGGGTGGGAGGGACAGAGTGGAGAGGGCTTAGCTGAATGTAATGATCGAACCCCCCTAGGACATATGAAAAGTAGTCAAGGCTCCCTGGTACTCAGGGTCTGTCGAGGCCCCAGATTAGCCACACAATCCAGATTTGACTCTTCCCATGGAAGGCTCTGAGACTTGGCCCCATGGAAGGCCTGCAGTGGTCCAGGCTCCACAGGGCCTTCCCAGGTGACACCCCTACATCTTTTTCTTTTTTTCCCTCACCCAAGGACATTTTTCTATATTTTGTTCAGATAGAGTGGGAGGGAGAGAGAGAGAGAAACATTGACATGAAAGGGACACATCAAGTGGTTGCCGCCTGCACGACCCAACCAGGGCCAGGGACAAATTGCAACCAAGGTATGTGCCCTTAGCGGGAACCGAACCCAGGTCTCTCTGGACCGCAGGCCGATGCTCTAACCGCTGAGCCAAACCAGCCAGGGTGACACCCCTACGTCTTCACCCCGCCCAGACCCATCTCACCAGCGGTGGCTGCCCCACTGACCACCCCATGGCCCCCACCCCAGGTCTTGTCTCTGGGTGCGGACGTGCTGCCGGAGTACAAGCTGCAGGCACCACGCATCCATCGCGGGACCCTCCTGCACTACAGCCCCTTCAAGGCCGTGTGGGACTGGCTCATCCTGCTGCTGGTCATCTACACGGCCGTCTTCACACCCTACTCAGCCGCCTTCCTGCTTAGCGACCAGGACGAGTCTCAGCGCGGGGACTGCAGCTACACCTGCAGTCCACTCACAGTGGTGGACCTCATCGTGGACATCATGTTTGTCGTGGACATTGTCATCAACTTCCGCACCACTTATGTCAACACCAACGACGAGGTGGTCAGCCACCCCCGCCGCATCGCTGTCCACTACTTCAAGGGCTGGTTCCTCATTGACATGGTGGCAGCCATTCCCTTTGACCTGCTCATCTTTCGCACTGGCTCTGATGAGGTGAGCGAACCCCAACTGAGTCAGCTCCTGCAGCTGTTCCCTGCAGCCCTGGGGCCTCCCTGGCCTCTCCGTCCTGGGTGCAGAGAGTGCCTGGCATTGGGCACCTTTGCCAAAGCAAGTGGAAGTGAAAAGGGGGGCCTCAGACATCTCCTGTCATCTCCAGCATTGGAGAAGGACCAGCCAAAGCTATGCCCCAGACCTGGGTAGCCTCCCTGTACTCCACAATTCGGCCCCTTCTGGGATGGGCATTCCTAGAGTCCTAGCCCCGCGTGCTGACTTCTAAACCACACTTATCTTGGAGTTAGAAAGGGAGTGTGCAAGCTGCTCCTTAATGCAACCTGAACCCCTTCTCAGCCCTGAGCCCCTCCACTTTGCTAACTCCACTTCCCATAGCTGACGTGAGGGTGTTTTCATGCTTTTCTTAAAGCTTCTAGTCCCACTATGTCCTTTCGCCTCACCTCTTTAGGATCAGCTTTCCAATCCAGTCAGCTCTACCTTCTGTGTTCCAGTCACCCCACCCCAACACCCCAGCCTGTCCAGCGGGGGCTCTCTCTCATGACCCTGCTCCTATGTCCACTCACTCCCAGCAATCTACCCCCAAGTCCTCTCACCTCCTCTCCACCCCTACTGGCCCTGACTGGACACTGAGTGGCCTTCTTACCCACATCTGCCCCAGCCCTACACCTGCCAGCCTCACCCCCTCCACACAGAAGCCAGGGAGAGTTTCAGATCACTCATATGATTCTGTTACTTATCTGACCCTCTCCTCAGAACCTTAAGTGGCTCCCCAGTGGCTTGGGATAAAAGCCAAACTCCTTATGGACCCTTGGGCTCACAGGAGCAGCCCCTGCCTATCTTTCTGGCTCATTTCTCTCTACTCTGCCATCTTCCTCACTGAACTGCAGGCTGCAGCCTCACACTTGGTTTCCCATGTGGGCTGTGCCATTTCACACCTCCAGGCCTTTGCTCCTGCTGCTCCCTGAGCATGGAATGCCCTTTCGCTTTTCCTCCGATCTGCCTGGAGGCCCAGCCACATCTCTCAAGACTCAGCTCATGTGTCTCCTCGTCTATGTAGCCTCCCTGTCTTCTCCTGCAGATCTGACCTCCCTTCTCTGTGCTCTTTCTAGATTTCTGTTCTAGTAACCATAATGCTGTTTTTGAGCTTTAGGCTAAGAGCTCCTTAAGGTCCCACATTGTGCCCCTCTGCCAAGAGCCTGGCCCAGAGCAGGTTCTTCATGAGTGTTTGTTGAATGACTGTGTTCCCATATGCATGAGTAAACAAATGTGATCCTGAGTGCAGCCTTTCAAGGGCTGACTGCCAGCCCCACGGCCCCCTCCCTGCCCCTCCAGACCACGACCCTGATTGGGCTGCTGAAGACAGCGCGGCTGCTGCGGCTGGTGCGCGTGGCCAGGAAGCTGGACCGCTACTCTGAGTATGGGGCAGCTGTGCTCTTCCTGCTCATGTGTACGTTTGCACTCATTGCACACTGGCTGGCCTGCATTTGGTATGCCATCGGCAACGTGGAGCGGCCCTACCTGGAGCCCAAGATCGGCTGGCTGGACAGCCTGGGCGTGCAGCTTGGCAAGCGCTACAATGGCAGCGACCCGGCCTCAGGTCCCTCGGTGCAGGACAAGTATGTCACTGCCCTCTACTTCACCTTCAGCAGCCTCACCAGCGTGGGCTTCGGCAACATCTCTCCCAACACCAACTCAGAGAAGGTCTTCTCCATCTGCGTCATGCTCATTGGCTGTGAGTTGCCACCTCATGCCCTGGACCCTACTCACAGAATTCATTTTGAGTTTTGCAATGAGACATAACAGAACATAGTAACAATGTGTGTGATAGGCAGATCCTAAGCATACAGCATACAATGAAATGTTGCATGTATGCACCGACTACACATAATTTAACACCTGCACAGCCCTTGCTATGTGCCAGGAACCAGGACCAGTTCATCATTTGCAGGGCCCAGTGCAAAATGAAAATGTAGAGCCCTTCATTTTAAAAAATATTAAGAATTTCAAGACAGTGACAGCAGAAAATTAAACCAGATGTGGAGCACTTCTTAGCACAGGTCGAATGCCTACAAAGCCAGACCTACCAGGCACTTTTCTAAGTACTTATCAAAGGCCCACATTTCATTCCCATCACTACCACCATGAGGACCAGATTATGAGCCCAGTTTACAGACCAAAAAAACCAAAGGTTCTAATTTGCCAGGAGATAGGATACACAGAGACCCAATTCCATCCAGGGGCCCCTCCCTGGGCTGAGTGCTCTCAGCTCCTGCCCTGTGCTGCCTGCTTCCCAAGATACCTGGTTTAGGAGCACAGAGGCAGTGTGGAATTTTACACGTAGATTAAGTTGTCATGTTCAGAGTATTTAGAGATGTGAAAGCCCAGAAAAACAAAAACAAGGGGAAAAAAGGACGAAAACAAGAGCCCCAGAGTTTCCCCTTTATTATATTTTTACAGCTGAAAGAGAAAACAAATCTGAACTAAAAAATTCCATTGCCCTAGTTCTCCCTCTCAGGAGTTTGGCCTCTGGGCCCAGGAAGATGCCTGGGCAGAGCGAGGAAGGCAGGAAGTCCAGGGGCCTCAGTCCCCGGGGTACCCTGGTGCTGTCCTGGGCACTTCTGGATTTGTCCTGGACAGAGGGCTCCCAGGAAGAGGGAGACTTGAAGCGGGCCCTGAGGTGTGTGGCCTGGTGGGGATGCAGAGGAGCTCACTCCCCGCACCCCCGCTCCCCCACCTCAGCCCTCATGTATGCCAGCATCTTTGGCAACGTGTCTGCCATCATCCAACGCCTGTATTCAGGCACGGCGCGCTACCACACGCAGATGCTGCGAGTCAAGGAGTTCATCCGCTTCCACCAGATACCCAACCCGCTGCGGCAGCGCCTGGAAGAGTACTTCCAGCACGCCTGGTCCTACACCAACGGCATCGACATGAATGCGGTGAGCCCCTGCCACCCTGCCCGGGTAGGGCTGGCGACCCAGCTCAAGTCCCAGCTCTTGCTAAGGCCCCCGAGGCAGACAAGGTCCCGTGAGCACAGGGCGCCCTCCCAACCCGCTCCCCCAGCCCCACCCCGCGCACCTCGCCTCGCAGGTGCTGAAGGGCTTCCCCGAGTGCCTGCAGGCCGACATCTGCCTGCACCTGCACCGCGCGCTGCTGCAGCACTGCCCGGCCTTCCGCGGAGCCAGCAAGGGCTGCCTGCGCGCTCTCGCCGTGAAGTTCAAGACGACGCACGCGCCGCCGGGGGACACGCTGGTGCACTTCGGCGACGTGCTCTCCACGCTCTACTTCATCTCCCGCGGCTCCATCGAGATCCTGCGTGACGACGTGGTCGTGGCCATCCTAGGTGGGTCGGGCGGGGAAGGTGGGGTGGTGGGTCTGGAGATGTCCTGCCTGGACCTCTCCAGTACTAATGATGATAGTGGTACCTTTCATGACCTGCATGTGCTGAGCATGTGCCACAGAGAGCTTTATCCCCAGCTCTCTGAATCCTTAAAACAAACCTGTGCCGTAGGTCCATTTTCCTGATAGGGAAGTTGAGACTCAGAGAGATCATGCTGGTAAGTGGCCAAGCAGGTCCCAGAGCAACATGTCTGACTCAGACATCCAGGCAGGCTCCTACCTTTCACTTTTGGGGAGCACAGGGTGAGAGAGTGAGGGTTTCTCTTGGATGGAGGAGGGTCTTCAGTGTCAATCAGCACAACTGCAGGGATAGCTGGACTTTGGAGAAAGAATATGAGCACTGAGTAGGGGACAGATGTGGGGCACATGCAGCCTCTGCCACTTACCAGCTGTATCAATGTGACCTTGGGCAGGTCACTTCTCTTCTCTGAGCCTCACAGGATTCTCTCTCTCTCATCTTTCTTGCCCTGCTCCCAACAACTTCAGCCCACCCCAAGTCCCTCCCTTGGCCTCCATGGCTAGGCTCTCCTCCAACACCCCTGGACAGGCCCCCTCCGGCTCCTATGCCCGCTCCTTCCCCTCTGGTCTGCCCTTAACTAGGGTCCACCAAGTGCAGGGCTCTGGTCTCTTCTCCTCACCCTACACCCTCACTTGGGCCAGCTCCTTGCTCCCAGGGTCTCAGCCTCCATCTTTGCCGCAAGCACCCTCAGAACTCTGTCCTAGCCCCACTCTCTCCTTAGACCGGAATATTCCATTTCTGAGATTGGCCACCCTTATATTTCTGAGGCAGACCAAACATATCTCAACCTGAAATCATCGTCTGCCCATGAAAGCTGCTTCTCTGGCATCCCCATCACAGTGAACCACCCATTGCCTGAGCCAGCAACCTTCCTGCTCGCCATCATCCAGGCAAGCCACAGAGTCCCTTCTGTTTCCCTCTCTGTCCCACAGCTGTCTCCTTGTTCCTGCCTGGGTCCAGCCCTCATCCTGTCCTTCCTGGGCAGATGTCAGGAGCTCCTTTCCCATGTTCCCGTATCTGGTCTGCTCCGTACTCCATCTTCTACTTTCTGCCAGTGACCTGAAATTCACATCTGTGCATACTCCTCTTCTGCTCAAAATCTGTCTGTTGTTCCCCATGGCCCACAGAACAAGAGTGAACTTCTGTGTGTATAGTCCTCCCCAATCTAGCTACCCTAAGTCCTGCCACCCTCCCCCTAGTACCTCAGGTTCCAGCCATACAAAATACTTATTGTTCTCTAAAGCTGCCTGTCTCTGTCACACACATCTGTGCCTTTGCATGTGCTGCAACTCTTCTTGGAGCAACTACCTTGTACTCCTGCCTGGCAGACTCTGGTCATCCCTCAATGCCGAGAGCTTAAGGACCGGCTCCTCTCTGAGACCTTCCTTCACTGCCAGCCTACTTTAGAAACGCCATTCACGTGGGAGGAATAATTATTATTATTAATAATTAAGTAACCAGTCCAATTTAAGTTTCAGTTAGAGACATGAAATCTCATTTTGTCCTGAGTGGAAATGGACTTTAGATCATAATCCTTCATCTACCAGAAAACCATCGCTTTATAATGTTGCCCAGATTTCAAGCTCCTGGGTTTCATATGTAATCCTGGCAAGTTCCTTCCCTCTTCGGACCTCAGTCTCCTCCTCTGTGAATGACCTTTGAGCTTGTCCTCTTGGGGGACACATCCTGGCCTCCATCCATCATTGTCTGCACAAATCATTAGTGATCCTTGTTCCATAGCGCCAGGCTGCGGGGGCTGGACTGTCCTGTAGGGAGCGCGGTTGTCACAGCAATCATAGCACCCCAGCCCTGACTATAGCACTGATCACACTGTTTCTTCACCAGATTGCCTTTCTCCTTGGATCCCAGTCCTCCTCAGTTCTCACAACCCAGCCCCTACTTCATTTCCTCTGTAAGCCTCCCTCCTCCCTGCTCCCAACCACCACTAGTAGAATGAGTACCCCCCTGTCTATGGCCCCATAGCTCTTGGTTCTTCCCTGTTCTAAGTTCAAAGATCATTCTGTAAACGAGTTGCTTGCTTATGTGCCTATCTCACCGGGGCTCCTTGTGGGTGGGACAGCATCTTATTCATGTTTACACCCCGTGGCCAGCACAGCACCTGGCTCCAGGAGGACCCAGTACCCTCATCACATGCCCCAAGTATCAGCCCAAGTCCACTTTGTGACATCTGTCGATACCAGTGTCTTGTACTGGTGCCTCTTGCTAGTCAAGGTACTTTCTCAAGCATCACGTCTGTTCCTCTGGACAGCCCAGTCGGGTAGACAAGGGAGATACGGTTACACCCATTTTAGAGACGAGGACACTGGGGTCCAAAGAGGGGAAGTGACTTCCTCAGGCTTCCTCTGCCAGGGCCATGCTGGTTACACGGCCCCACAATGGGGAGTGGGAACACAAAGACAGAAGCGTCAGGCCCCGCGCTGGGGGAGCTAGGAGCTCCTGGCCCTGGATTCCCTGCACTCTTACATCACTGCAGCAGGCTGAGGAGGGGGAAGAGGTTGACCAGGGAGCTTTCAGTGTCCTTTACTGCCCACTAACCCCCAGGGCAGCAGTGGGGGCAGTGCCAATGCATGTGGGACTAGGAGGGGGATCCTGATAGAAGGTGGTCCTGAGGGGCAGGAGCACCCACATATTTTAAGGGGAGAGTCTCTGCAGAGCTCAAAGGACAAGGTAAGGGCACACTCCCCGTCCCCAGCCAGTGCACCCAGCCTTGTCCCCAGAACTTCATCCTTAGCACCAAACCCAGACTGGCAGAGTCCCTGGGGAAAGAAAGAGGTCATGGACAAGAGACCCTCAGGAAAGATCCTTAGAAGAGAGCTTGGAGCCAGACCCTGGAGAGACCCACACCCCTCTGGCTGGCAGGAAAGAATGACATCTTCGGGGAGCCTGTTAGCCTCCACGCCCAGCCAGGCAAGTCCAGTGCAGACGTGCGGGCCCTGACATACTGCGACCTGCACAAGATCCAGCGGACAGACCTGCTGGAGGTGCTGGACATGTACCCTGCCTTCGCAGATAGCTTCTGGAGTAAGCTGGAAGTCACCTTCAACCTTCGGGATGTGAGTCTGGGCTGGGTGGGCCAGGGTGGGTGGTGGCCAGCTGGTAACAGATAATGCCCAGGCAGCCTGCTGAGAGCTTGGCCTACCTGGTCCTGGGGGGGTGGGGGGGGGACCCATCTGAACACCTCCTTTTCATTCAACCCCATGCTGTGTACTTTACCATAATTTCTTCTGTGTCTACCATGGTCTGCATAATGCCAAATATGATGAGAGCTACCAATTATTGAGCACCAACTATGTGCTAAGTGCTGGGCTTCTTTTATATGATCTCATTTAGTCCTTTCTTTGCAAATGGTGTTACTATCCCCATTTCCCAGATGAGGAAACTGAGGGCCACAGAGGATAAATTGACCAAAGCCATACAGTCCCACAGTAAGCCGTATAGTCAATGGCTGAGCCAAACTGTGGGGTCAAGTTGGTGCAATTCCCCAGCCCAGGCTTTTCCCAGCCACTGTACCAAGCTGAAAGGGAGAGTGTCTGCCCTCCAGGGGCTCACAGTGCCAGGTCCGAGGGTGTAAAGAGTGAAAAAGCTGTCTGTCCTCTCAAGCTTATTGCTCAGTGGAGGATATTAAACAAGTCAGGAAAAATAAAGAGCCACATAGTTAAATAACCAAGGAAGTCACGAGGGTGTGCAGGGAGACCAAATTTCCGTGGAGCTCAGCATTGCCGAGGAGTGGGACGGCGGATACAGGCTGGAAGTCCAGAAGAGGCTGCGTGGAGGAGGGGTCTGGAATTAGGTGTTGGGAAGGAGGTGGCAGGCATGCTTGGCAGGGGCAATAGTGGCTGAGGTCCTGGCTCTGAGCCCCCTTTCCTCCAACACAACCCTCCCAGCCTCAGGGGGAGGGGCTCTGCTGGCCCAGGCCCCATGCCCAGGATGGAGTACTAAGACAGGCTTTCTTACTAGGGACAGCCTCCCTACCCTGTGCTCTCTGCTGTTCTCCCCTCCCCAGTCTCTCCCCTTCCCATCTGGTCTATCCAGGAGATATCTTTTCTTTTCTTTCTTTCTTTTTTTTTTTTTTCTCCTTTATTGATTTGTGAGAGAGAGGAAGGGAGAGAGAGAAAGAGACAGAAACATCGATGCGAGAGAACATCGACTGGCCGCTTCCTGCATTCCCCCCACTGGGGATTGGGCCCACAACATGAGCATGTGTCCTGACTGGGAATCAAACCAGCAACCTCATGGTGCATGGGTTAAAGCTCAACCACTGAGTCACACCAACCGGACTGTCCAGGAGATAGCTTATAAGAACCCTGCCTTGGGCCCCAGCCACTAGGAGCCATCAGCTGGCCCAAGTGCTCAGTGGCGGGACACCAGGGCAAGAGTGATGTGGTCTCCATGGACACCTACAGCCCCCTAGGGGTGCCTAAGTGGAAGTACCAGAAGGGTGCGCTGCCGAGGGTGTTGCTGGACTAGGCGGTTCCAAACCCAGTCTCCTCAAAGGAGACTCCCCATTGGCCCATGCTGAGGGTGGGAGCACCAGGGCATTCAGGAAAGGGAGGATTGGAAGAACAGCTCCTCTGCTTCCCCCCGCAAAATATCAGGATGCTCAAAGCAGCCTTTGCCAAGACTCTGTGGCTGGTCTGCATGCCTGCAAGCCCCTGATCATCTGCCCATCCACGCAGGAGAGAGCCTGCAAGAAGCTATGTGGAGCATTAGGGGAAAGCCCAGACACCTGTCACCACTTTCTCACCTAGTTGGCACAAGGATCATGGAGGGGGTGTGCAGGGGTTGGGAGGGAGAACCAAGATGCCCTGTCCCATCTTTGGTCCCTGTTACTTGATGCTCTTGTTCCCCACAAGGCAGACGGGGGTCTCCAGTCATCACCCCAAAAGGCTCCAGGCAGTCAGGACCACCAAGTCTTCTTCCTCAGTGACAGCGAGTCAGGTGAGCAGCCTTTCTTCATCAGTGTCTGCCCTGACCCAGCCCCAAACCCCGGGCAGCCTCCTACACCTTCTCAGTCCTTATATCCTGCTTCCTCTGGGAGAGGTCTCCCCAGCCCCTGGATGAGTGGAGAGGGGCTCCCTCCCTAGGCTCCTTCCTCTCCCTGTGTCCTTAGAGCCAGGGCGAGGGCAAGCCAGACGCCTAGTGCTGCTACAAGATGGGGAATACAGGCCAAGCCCCTGGGGTTCCTCATCAAGGCACCAAGACAGCTTCCAGGACAGTGAGGCCAGGGCTGGATGTCCCCACCCACCCAGGCCCCTAAAGCTGGGGCCACAGGCCCCCTATCGAGGCTACAACCTTCCGGGTCATGAATGCCAGGTCTCTATGGAGGCAGGACTTCATCCTCCAGGGCACCCAGGTGAGAAGAGCCACTCCTCCTGCCCTATGTTCCCATTGCAGGTAGGGAGAGGGGCATAAGCTCAGTGTGTGGGACAGCTAGACCAAGCCCAGGCTTTCTTTTCCCTCCTGAAGGTGCAGCCCCTTCCCTGAGCCTCTCAGATGCATCTGGCCTGTGGCCTGAGCTGCTGCAGCAAGTGCCCCAAAGGCCAAGGCACAGCCCTCCAGACCCTCAGGAAGTGGCAGACTGCTGGTCTCGGGAGCTGGGCCCCAGGCTGGAGCAGCTCCAGGCCCAGATGAATAGGTGAGTGCCCTGCAGACCAGGTTCTGGTGGCTGCAGAGCAAGCCCAGCAGCAGGCTCGGCACGGGTGCCCCCTTCTGGTAGTTCAGGAACATCACTGGATGTCCTTTAAATTTCAGAATGGCCGGCCCCCTTTAACAGCAGGACTCCGCATCTCTATGTCACTAAGCACAATTCCTTAGATGACTTGTCCCAGCAAACCCTGTAACATGTCAAGGAAGCTTTCTTAAGGGAGGAGCATAACTTTGTACAGAAACACATTTCATAGGTTCTTGGTAAAGTGGTGTGGCCTGTGATTGACAGGGCTGCGGAGGCAGAATTAGGGCTTAGGGGCAGTACAGTCCTGGGTTCAAATTCTGCTGAGTGTGGGCAAGTCACTTAATCACTCTGTGCCTCTGTGTGTTCTTTCATGAAATCAGAATACCCATAGCAACGCTTCCTGATGAGGACCAATTGATGTGTGTTCGGCACCTGGTCACTTATTATTGAAGTCGGGGATGTGCTGAGGGGAATTTGGGCAGAGGCTATGGATTGTAGCAGGGAAATCGCTTCAGGTGGGCCCCAGGCTGCCATTCCAACCAGCAGGAACAGCATGTAGGCTACAAAATTGGGAGCTGTCCTCAGGACCTGAACAGCTTTTGCCAACTCCGACCCTAACCTTGACCTTGATCCTGACCCTGACTGGCGGGTTCTGTCCTATTGGGCAGGCTGGAATCCCGCATGTCCTCAGATGTCAGCCGCATCCTGCAGCTCCTTAAGCAGCCCCTGCCTCAGGGCCATACTGGCTACATTCTGGGAGCCCCAGCCTCCAGTGACCTGGCCTTGTTTCCTGCATCAGCGACTCAGAGTCTAGGAAATAGGCTGTCCCAGGACGGCCTGTCCCCTGCACAGGTGAGCAGGTGAGGGGATCCCCAGGGGCTGGCATGGTGGCAGCTGCGTTCCTTCCCCCACACCCTCTTTCTTGCCCCTCTCAGGCCCCAGGCTGTGGTGACTTGGACAAATGTAGGCCGAAGCGCAGGAAGTCCTCCTCCAGGATGCCTCACCTGGCCATGGCGATGGACAAAACTCTGACATTGTCCTCTGAACTGAAGCAGCCTGAGGAGCTCCTGTCATCCCTGGCCTCACCTCTGCATCCCCTAGGGGCACAGGCACTCGCCTGTGGTCCCCGCTTCCCCTCCCTCCCGGAACACCTCAGCTCTATCCCCAAGCAGCTGGAGTTCCAGAGACATGGCTCAGATCCTGGATTGGTAGGGAGTTGGAGCCACTGAACTCCGAGACAAAAGATACCATGAGGGGCTTGAAGGTGGGTAAGGTGAGAGTTAAGGATTTGGGGGAGGCAGAGAGCCACCAAAATGGACCTCTGAAAACCATTCTCCTGAAGTAGCTACAAACTGCTAACTCAGGTGACCCAAGATGGCAGGGGCGAGGAGACTCAGGAGTCTTCCCAGGCTCCTCCAGGCCTCTCTGTTTAGATAGCAAGCCTGGAGAAGGGTGGGCAAGCACCTTGGGCATGGAGGTAGCTTACAGGACAGTGGGGTCAGTGAGGAAAAGAGAAATTTCTGATCTGTGTGAGAGCCTTGCTCTGGGCTGGGTGCAATCATCTCCTGACTCGGAACCATCCATGGCCTCTCTCCCAGCACCCAAGGTTGGTCAGACCTCCTATGAGAGCCTGCGACCTGGCTAGAGATGCAAGTGTCCTCTGTAGTGGACACATCAGGGCACAGTGGTCCAGTCCTCAGTGGCTCAGCCCCTGATGGTTTTACGATGACCTTTGGGACTCTAGTGGACAGTGGAGTGTATCACAGCTAATAAAGTCTGCATATTTCACCTTGGGCTGGGTGTGTAACTTACCTGAGGGTGACTATGTCTTTGATTGTGACGTGACTCCGACATCAGTTGTCTTCCCCAAGCCCTTCTTACAAAGAGCTGTGTTGAGGACTTGAAGGTGGCTCTGCTGGGCCCAGGAGCCCTTGAACCATGGGGCTTTTAGCCAGGCTGGGGTGAAAGGGAGCAGGGAGGTACTGGCTTGGCCACTGGGAATCATGACCACAGCCAACACCTTCATAGCAGTCACCCTGTGCAGGACACTGTGCTGACTGCTCTCAGATATTAGTTTATCTAATCCTCTCAACAGCCCTAAGGGGCCAATGCTATTTTCCCCATTTTAGAGAAGTGGGATCAAAAACAGAGACAAACTCACACAAGCACGACGGGGACTTCCGGGGAGCTGGTACTGTTCCTGATCTAGGTGCTGGTTACGTGAGTGTGTTGTGAAAGCATGTGAACTTCTATATGTAAATTATACTTTAACTTGAACAAAAAAGAATATGGCTTAATAAGGAAAAGAAGGATGTAATTTCAACCCAAATGGTCTGGCTTGAGAATATGTGCAGTTAACTACTCCACTGAAATGATTGTTGTCTAAAAAGTACCTGGTCATTGGTCTTCAGTCCTTTTTGCTCCATTATTCCCTAAAAGAATTTTGAAAATGTATCCTCACACATTTTTAAGGTGACATCTGAAGTATTTCATTAATAAGTTTAAATAGTTGTAAAGGATGTGATTTCCAGCATGTTATAAATATTGACACTTTATACACTTTTACTTATATTGACCCATTTTGATCCAAATAGCATAGTAATTTGTGAGCCAACATCATTCATTTTAAAAACACTAGAACAAGCACTTCTTTAACATCATCCTTTTTTTCTCATGATTCCATTCCCTTCTTCTCAGTTTATGCTACATAAAATTTATTTTCATGCTTTAAAGTCTATTATTCATAATCTTACATCTATTTGCAACACAGAAATATAAATTGAAAATATACTGTAAATTGAAATTTTTAAATTAATTTTTGCAACATTACTAAGGCTTTAAGGATTATACTTATTAGTACAGAGTTGTTCAAAACAACATAAATATATTAAAATTTTTATAAAAACTAAAATTTTATTGGAACTGCATCTCTTAAATGGGTATTTTCCTCTCAATTAGTTTGTGTGTGGATGAATATATATATATATATATTTTTTTTATCCTCACCCGAGGACATTTTTCGATATTTTGTTCAGATAGAGTGGGAGGGAGAGAGAGAGAAACATCGACGTGAAAGGGACACATCGAGTGGCTGCCTCCCACATGACCCAACCAGGGCCGGGGACAAACTGCAACCGAGGTACGTGCCCTTAGTGGGAACCGAACCCGGGTCTCTCCGGACCACAGGACGACGCTCTAACCACTGAGCCAAACCGGCCAGGGCTGAATGTCATTTTTTTATTAGAATAAGACAAAGTTCAGCAACAATTTTGTACCTCTTTTTCTTACCTTTTTGTTAAAAAAGCTTAAGCACAGAGAAAACATGTTTACATAAATAGATGGGACTGTAAGGGATTTCGTTATATACAGCTGTGTCACTCAATTCTTTGAATTCTTTCTGAGTTGTCTGATAACAATCACATCATTAAAAACTATGTTTAATGATATCTAACAAGTCAATACAATCCTTTAATTTTGTTGAAAGAAAGAATCAGAAACCATTTAAATCATAAAAATTCATACTTTTCTCCATTTCGAACTCAGGACACATAAATTTAGGGCTTCATTAGCTTTTGCTTTGGGATCCAAGGCGGTAAAAGTTTGATAGGGAATGTAAAAACAAAACAAAACAACTTAGAGCCAAGCTGGTCTGATAGCTGCCTACAGAAAATCAACCCCAGAATTCCTAGCATTTCTAGATGGACGGGAAAGCACGGGAAGGAAGGCCTGCCTGAAGCTGGCCTGGCCCAGGGAACATTCGCAGGCCGGTGTGCAAACGGTCGGTCCTTGGGGTACAGGAAGAACAACTCTCCCGGCTTAAAGGGGGCGTTAGCTTGAGTGAGGAGAGAAGGTGGTTCCCGTTTGGTTCCACGGACAGACTGCCTGGCCGCGGGGCTCAGTGCCTCGAAATACAGCAGGCCCGCGCGTAAGGCAGCATTTTAATTTTTACCCAACAGCGTGCAGAAGCCGCTCTATTACGAGTGGAAGTCAAAGGAGATCACACAAGAGGTTTCGCGCTCAGAGACTTGGCCTAGAACTTGGAAGCCTCCTGCTCCCCATTCTCGCCTCTATGCCACCCACGCCCCCATTCACCCGCACTGCGCTGTTATCTTCCTGATAGACATCTTTGTCAGCCAATGACCTTTGGGACTGAGAAAGAGCCTGCCCCCTGGAGTTGAGTGGGACAAGTAATTGGAATGACAAACATTTTCACCAATAGCGAGGAAGCTCCAAAAGCTACAGGTACAATAGCCAATGAGGAGAAGGAACTGTTCTAAGTGACGTGTCAGGCAGCCAACGCCCGGCGCCACTCTAGGGAACGCGTGGCTTCCGTTCCGAGAGGGCGGGGCAGCGTCTCAAACGGAAGGTGGTTGTTGTCTGAGCCCAAGCAGGTTTGAAACTGGGGTTCGGGCCCGGCGGCTGTCGTTGTCTGTGGCCGAGGCCCCGCTTCCGGGCTAGGCCGTCCCTACCCGCCTCGGCCCCGCCTCTCTTCGGACCCCTGGGTCCCAGACTCGGCTTCCCGCCTGACTCGCGCCCCGCCCGCCGCATCCCGCTGTCGACCCGGCCCGCACTGCGGCCCCGCCGCAGCCACCATGTCCCTGCACGGCAAACGGAAGGAGATCTACAAGTATGAAGCGCCCTGGACCGTCTACGCCATGAACTGGAGTGTGCGGCCTGACAAGCGCTTTCGCCTGGCGCTGGGCAGCTTCGTGGAGGAGTACAACAACAAGGTGGGCCGGGCAGGGGCTCGGAACCCAGCTGACGGGGAGCGGGCCCCTGGAGCGCCCTTTCCGGGCCGGAGCCCAGACCCCAGGACCCTCCTGCGGACTTGCCTTAGCGCCACGGAGCGGTTCCTCTGAGTCTGGTCCAGAGCAGAGGGTTTCGCACTTGTTTCACTCGGTCCTGGCAGCATTCCTGTGTAGTCCGGAGTGTAGTTACCCCTTACCCCATTTTACTGAGGGGGATACTGAGGCACAATGTTGTGACTTGCCGCAGTCATACAGCTATTTCGTGGCAGAAACAGGTCTCAAACCCGAATTTACACCCCAACTCTACGCTATTTATCACTCTTTCTCTCCTCTCCTGCCGCATTGCTTCAGTTGGGGGGCGGAGGAGGAAAGGGAGTGATGGCTGTGAAGGCTAATGCTCGCGCTTCAGTTGGTGGTCATTCACTCCTGGCGTCGCTGGATTTCTATTAGTGTAGTTTATTGCGCAGACTTCCCCTCCCCCTACTCCCAGCCCCAGGTACTATTCGTGGGTACTCCAGTCCCTCTGCCAGAGCTGCTATTGCTGCCTCATATCTGTCCTTTAAAATGCGATCACTTTTTGGAAATCTTGGCCTGTAGCCTTGATCCCGCCATTGTTTTCTGAATGGAGAAGGATGACCTTTGCCATATCTTTTCTTGGCTTCTTCGTGCTAATACAGATGTGTAACTTTGAGTGGCAAGTATCCATCCATTTGTGAAGCCTTCATAGAAGCACCGATAGTGAGGGGAAGCTTTTAAGTTGGCAGTGCAGCATAAATTTATTTTTGAAAGCTGTTGAGTAAGTCAGTGGGAAGAATTTTCTTTCCTTTACCTCTTAATCTTCCTTTTGTTGTATTAGAGTAAATGTTGTGATTGTTAGGGATCAGAGCAATTGAAAGCCTTGGCTAGTATGTTTAAAGCACTCCTGCTCCACAGGCATGGTGCAGGGAAAAAAGCCAGACAGTCTAGGATTGGGTCCTGTCTGGTCCATTGACTAGCTGTAGGGAATTGCATAGTCAGTCTTACTATTCCTGGCCCACAGTTTGTTGAAGAAAAGGTGAAAGTCCTGTAAAAAAACATTTGAACATTGTATTTTGTTTACAGTTCTTCAGGAGCAAGCTGTTTCTCTAGTGTTAGGTCTTAACTTCTTTGGAATCCCCTTTGAGAAACTGATAAAGGCAGTGGACTCACATTGCCTAGACATTGCACATACATAATTTACAAACAAATACCATGGAGTGCACACTGATCTTGAAGTCCATCCATTACCCACAGAAACCAGAAAGTCCTGAGCAAGACATAACTTTATTTTCTTTTCTCTGATTCCTCTTTCTTCATTATTATAGCCATAGTGGACAGCAGAGCTGGAAATGGAATTCATGGTCCTGATGCTGAGACCATGTTAGGAAAATTAAGACCACTAGAACTGTTGTTTAAGAATACATGTTTTTAAAAAAAATAAAATAATGTCTTTTAAAATTCATACAAGTAGATTTTTTTTTCTGCTTGCAAGTTCTTTCAGGGTAAATTTGAGTAAGCAGTAGAAGTTACATTTCTGAGAGAGGACAGACTGAGCCACAGTTAGGCTGCTGGTGGAATCAGTGGAGTAATTGGTGTCAAGCCACAGTTGCAGGAACTTTACCCCAAAGTTTGTCCCTTCATTTAGCAACTGTATGAAAGCTCCTTTGTGCCAGGCACACAGGCAGTGCAGCCTTGTAATTCAAACTAATAATCCCAGTAGTAACAATATAAGCATTTAACTCACTTATGTGATGTAAGTGATCAGTGTCTTAGAACTATTTTTGTGATCCCACCTATCTAAGTCAGGGTTTTTAATGTGTGTGTGTGCATGCACGCACCATGAACACTTTTGGCAATCTAAAGTCAATAGACCTTTTTTCACAATTATGTTTTCAAATGCATAACATATATAGGAGTATGAAGGAAACCAGTTATATTAAACTACAGTTATCAAAAACTTTTTAGAAAGTGGAGATAAACGCTCTGGCTGGTATGGCTCAGTTGATTGAGCATCTTCCCATGCAGCAGAAGGTCACAGGTCAGGGCACATGCCCAGGTTGGGGGATCAGTTCCCAGTCAGGAGGCAACCAATTGATGTTTCTCTCTCTCTTCCTCCTTCCCTCTCTAAAATCTATTTTTATAGTGGTGATATAGTACTATGTACTTTTGTATTAACATTAAATTACACCATCCAGTGTAATTATTACTGTACTTTTGAAGTAGTGATGAAGGTAAACCATATTTCAAGAGTTTGACAACTGTAATGTGATAAACAGTCAGTGATTTATCTTTGTAACAAAGTCACCGATCCATGCCATTGTGAGTAACCACCTCCGTTTGTAATGGAAGGAAATGCTAAATTTCAGCCAGAGGGTAGTGAAAATAATGAATGTCATTTTCCATTTCAAGTTCTGGAACCTCAAGTTAAGAAATCCTGCTATAGAGGATCTGTGTCTAAGGGCTGGTTGGTGGTAAATCCCATTTTAAAGCAGTGGTTCTCAGGCTCAGTTTTGGAGAAACCTCGACATGGAGGTGCCAGACTTCATAATTTGTAGGAATTTAAAAATTATTGGTTGGAATTTTCAGACCTTTAGTTTGTGCTTGCCCTTGACAGTGATTGCCAGCAAGACAAAATAAACGGACATAGTAAATTAACATTGATAAAAAGCCCAGAAATGGTCCTTTTTTTTACTGTGGAGACATCGACTATAAGAAAACATGGTAATAATTTTTAAATTATTAATGTGATCATGTTTTGTATTAATGTGATCATGTTTTTCTATAGTAAGTTTTTTCCTAGTTTGATAAAATTGATCTTTTAGCATTTCAAAAACAACTTGACTTTCAGATGTTCTAACATCTGAATAAATTTGGGAACCTTTGCAGAGTAAAGAACCAGATTCTGTCAACCATTCCTGGAATAAAAAGTTCCATTATCGATAATTGTGTTTGTTTTATTTGTTTGTTTTTATCCTCACCTGAGGATATGTTTTTATTGGTTGGGGAGGGGGGTGGCATTGATGAGTTGCCTTCCTATGCACCCCTACCAGGGATTGAACCTGTAACCTAGGTATGTGCCCTACTGGGTATCCAGCCTGCTACCTTTTGGTGTATGGGACAATGCTCCAACCAACTAAGCAACTAGGGCAGGGCATAGGTAATTGTGTTTTATGTTCTCTCTTTATGGTCACTGCTGGGGCAATATAGCAGCACTGGTATTAGACCAGTGGCTCTCTAAATTGTAGTGTGGGTATGAAATTCCCTGGACTTCACCCCTAAAGTTAACAGACACTCAGGTGATCCAGACTGCACTCTAAGAACATTATCCTGGTATTAATTACCTTGGCACCTGCAGGGATCTGATGTATTTACATCTACAAGCACCTAAACATTGATTCTGTCCTTTCATCCCATGCAAACAGCTCTATTACCAGATAGCATCCTTGAAGTAGCCTGGATTGAAATCTCAAGCCTGTCACTTCCCGGTTTTGTGTGCCCTTGGGCAAGTTAACCTCTGTGCCTCAGTTTCCTCATCTGTAAAACCAGGGTAAGAAGTAAGATTAAATGAGCTAATATATGTATTGGAACTCTACAGGGTGATTGGGATTTATTTTGCCCTAATTTTAACTAGCTGATCACTTGTGCTTTAATATTTAGCATCTAGGAAACATTTTTGAGGTTGTGAGGAGAGAGACTGTAGGTATACCAGATGCTTTTTGAATAATACTGGTAGTGAATCTGGGTAAGGCCACTTTATACTTGAAATACATATGAAATGAATGCTTGCCTTGTCAGCCTATGTTGAGTATTCTGAGATTTTTTAGTGCAGAGTTGCTTTATCTATTTGGTGCAAAATTATTTTGACTCTGGTATATTATTTTTCATTTCTCAGTATTGTGGTAGCCCTTCAGGATCCTCCTTCTTTTGCTCATTAACTCAACAAATATGTATTGAACACACACACACACACACACACACACACACATACATATATATTTTTTAGGCACGGTGATGATGCTTGGTAACTTTATGTAGTTTTCATTAGCAGATATGAGATTGGCAGCAATAAAGAAAATGTGTTTTAGTACACATAAGTATTTTTGATAGATATTTAGACTTTTAGAAATTTTTCTGTGTTCCCATCAGTCCCTGTTGACAGGGAAATTTAAAACATAAAACTCTTCTGATTTTAACGCCCTCCTTTCTTTTTTCTAGACAGTGAGAGGACATTTCTCCATAGAACCAACTGGATAAAAGTGCCACTGCATTATTGCTTTTTGCCATAACCTGGCTCACAGACTTACTAGAGATGCTGTTTTGAACAAGGAACAAATCTGTTCTGTATTTAGTCCGGCCTGCCTGAGGCTGTGATGCCTAATTTGTCAGCCAGCCGGTCAGTCTCTGTGCCAGGAGCTGAAGGAGTGCTGTCAGAATTCATCTCAGTTTGACAAGGCAGGATCTCTCTATAGACATTGATCAGCAATAGTCAGGAATAGGCTAGAAGGGAGGACAAATAGAAAAGACCAAGAAAAGCTGCTTTATTCTCAGAGTTGTGCTTTAGCTGATTTTGGTTATGTTAACAATTTTAGGGAAATGTTCAACTGACTAGAGTGGTATATTGATTGGGTAACTTGGGGGCTTTTTTAAAAAGTCACATATACATGTGCATTAACCTTCATGTTCTGGTACTAACACTCTATAATACATGGAATACACAGTTTCCTCCCTGAGGAAGATTATAGTAACAAGATAGACATGGCATCTTTTAATTTAAAAAGGGGGGGGGGAGGTATGAGTAATGTGAACAATAATTTCTGTTGTTATTCATGAAAGTAATAAAAGCGAAAGTTAAGATGTGGTCATCTTCAAGGAGGAAATATTTTATATTGCATATCTGCTCCCTAAGAGACATTTGACAGTAAAATCCACAGTTTAAAAATAAGTAAAGCCCTGGCCGGTTTGGC